TCGACACGGCGGTGGAGGCGGCGGTGGCGTTCGCGCGGGCGGTCGGGCAGGCGGACGACGGCAGGCGTAGGAGGGCCAACGCGGGCAGCAGCGGCGGCGGGGGATGCGGAGGCGGGGGAGACGGAGGCGATGGAGGCTGCGGAGGCCAGGGAGATGGAGGCCATGGAGGCAGAGGGGGCGGAGGAGGCAGCGGCGGCGGCGGAGGAGGAGGATGTTCCGCCGCAGGCCGAGGGGTTGCGTTTGCACCACTCCGGCTGCACGGGCTCCGCTGGCCTGGCTGCTGGCTCTCCGTGCTGGGCCAAGCTACGCGGCTCGCCTTGGTGGCCTGCACTCATCAGCGCGGAGGAGGGCGAGTCGGTGCGGGTGCGCTTCTGCGGCACGGGCAACGTGGCGACACTCGAGCGCGCGAGCTGCATCAAGTCGCTCCGCGAGGACGAGCGCCTCTTCGACGCCACGCGCTGGGGCAAGGACTTTGGGCGGCCAAAGTGGAAGCACCTTCGCGCGCCCTTTGCGAGTGCCGTCGCTCAGGCACTCGAGGTCGAGGCGGCCCTCCCGCATGCGCCGCCGGGCGCGCTAAGCCGAGGACCGGCCGGAAGCTCCGCAGACAACGCGAGGCGGTGCGACGAGCGGCCGCCCAAGCGTCGTCGCACCTCGGCTGCGCAGGAGGCGGTGCAGATGGTGGCAGACCTGGAGACGGCGGACGCGGAGCTCGACGCGCCGCCTGTGCGGAGGTGCGCCGTCACGCTCGACCGCTGCTTGCCCAGCAGCGCCAACCGCGGCGCGGCCCCTCCTCGCCTCGGCATCGGCGACGGGTGGGCCGCCTCGGCCGCCTCCTCGTGGGTGAGCCTCGCTCCGCCGCCGCCGCCGTCGACACTGACGGAGGGGCTGCGCGACGGAGGGGCTGCGCCTGCACCTCTCGAGCAGCAGCGCCACCGGTCACGCTTGTGTGTTCAAGCTTCGGTCGGGCCGCTTTCAGGCGCAGCGCAGGGTGGGCGGGCGGCTGCTGCACCTCGCCCTCTTCGAGAGGAGCTCCGCAAACACGACCTCGTCCTCGGTGCGGAGCTTGAGGCCCGGGCCGGCGACGCGAGGAGGCGCCGGAAGCGTGGGCTGCGAACCGTCGTCGCCGCTTCCGTGGACGACGTCGGTGCGCGAAGCCATGCCCGGAGGAGGTCTAGCCGCGGGAGTCTACCCCGGTAGTCCGCGCCCGTCTTTTTACCGCCCCTTCCAATAACGTTTCCTTGAGGCGCATCTCGCGGCCGCGGAGATACGTGTCTCCCACCAAGCAGTGTGAAATTCCTGTGTTTGTGCCAGTGCACGCCAGTCCCGTGCCCAGCGTCGTGCGAGGGCGAGTTTTGTTGTAAAATTCTTTTCGAGAGCGCCTTCGTTGTTAATAATAATACAGACGGATGGTCACTTGGACTTGCAATAGCCACATGACACGCACACACCCGCAGGGTTCGTGAGTGAATTTTCACACTTTCACTTTCACATGTGAATTCATGTGAATTTCACATGAAACATTTCGGCCGCCCCCGTTTCACTGAAAATTTCACAAGTTCGACTACTTTCGAAGGCTCTGGCATCTCCGAGGCGGCAGCGGCGGAGGCGGCAGCAGTCGAGGCGGCAGCGGCGGAGGCGGCAGCGGAGAGAGCGGCGGTGCGCCTACCACTGCCGGCACCGGTAGGGATCTCTGTGCCACCAATGCCGCGCGTTCCTGCTTCCCTGCAGCGAGGCCGTGTGGTCAAGGCCGTGGTCGTCCCCAAGGCTCAAAGAACAGGGGCCCGCCCTCACTGCATCAAAACGCGGTGTTTGAAAGCGAGGAAGTGTAGAAAGGAGAAAGAGCCCACAATAACTAGTGAGAGGAGGTGCAGCTTGGTTCGTGTCCTCGGGCGCTCGAGGACGTGTGTGTTGCCTCAATGTTCTTTTAATGCGCGCCCCCGCCGAAATACACTGCAAATACACCATACACGCGAGATGCGTCGGCAGCGACGCGCACGACCTCTTAAGAAGCACCGTGTCGTTAGGGTTAGGAGCTGCACGGGCTCGCTCTGCTCCCGTCCGCTAGCCATCGGGCTTCACACGTTCCAACCCGTGGTACCTCTCTAGGGAACGCGCCCGTTCGCTGCCCGGCTGGATACTACAGGGCGGATACTTGCGCGAAAGTAATTACTAATGACTAATTACTCTCCAAACTGGGAACCCTCGCATCTCCAGCCCGGAGGGCAGGAGCCCCACGGCATTCAAAGTGCAAGGCCCGGTGCACGTGGGTGAGCAGCAGCCTGCGGCCCCCGCTCCCTCCCGACAAACGCACAAACCAAACTCCCGCACACACACACACCGCCGACGGCGCCGACTTTACCTGGGGCGGGGGCCGCCACGGCTGTCTAGGCCACGGAGAGGACCTGTCGAACCAGCTGCTGCCCAAGAAGATCGAGATGTGGGCGACGGGGCAGTGAGAAAGTTGGACAAGGAGGGGATGCTCAGGCTTCTCGCGGAGCTCTCAACGGGGGGAGGATTCGGTTCGGCGCCACGGCTGGGCCGAGCCCGAGCACGCAGCCACCCGAGGCACTGAGTTAGACTTGCTGCTGGTTTTACCCAGATATCTCCTGTACCGTGTTTGTTATGACCCCCCCCAATGAACACACCAGTTAGGGTGGGCGAGACGATCGAGGGGTCCCGTACCATGCGGAACCGACCCTATCCAGTGCTCAAGTGCTCAAGATATCTTCTCGGGGTTGAGGGGTGTCAGTTTTATTTGATTATTTATTCGGCGGCCGCGCAGATCGCCTTGAGCCAGACGTTCATGTCGAGGGAGATCTCGCCGCGGTACCCGGGACGCTCCTGCAGGGCAAAATGCGCGTGCTTGCGGCCGAAACTAGAGGAAAACGGGCAAATGCGGAAGCGAAATCGCAATCGCGTCACGGAAGAAAATTTGGTGTCGGAAGAAGACGTGGCGCCCGTTTTCTTCTCGCCACCGGCCTCCTTCTGTGAGCCACAGGCGAGCTATGCCTCTCAATTCGGGTGCCTTGCTCGGCTGGTGCCAGCGCGAGACTGCCACGTATGATGGGGTGAGCGTTGAGAACTGGAGCCGTTCGTGGAACGACGGGCTCGCCTTCTGTGCGCTGCTGCACCGTCACTTCCCCGATGACATCCGCTTTGGATCTCTCAACAGTTCGACGCCACAGAGCCGCGCTCGCAACTTTGAGCTCGCCTTTGGGGTCGCTGAGAGGAGGCTCGACGTCGAACGGCTTTTTGATGTGGAGGACATGATGGCCACATACCCACGGCCCGACGGCCGTTCAGTCACGACCTACGTCGTCCTGCTGTACAATGCAATCGAGGAGCGAGGCATGGTCGCGGCTACTGCGGTGCCTCTTGATGCGGATGGGGAGAAGAGAAAGGTCAGCCACCGAGGGCGGGGTTCTTCAGAGATCTCGCATCCGCCTGCGCAGGTGCAGCTTACTCCGCTGCCGCTGCCCGACCGCTCGGAGGACGACAGCGCGTTGTCGCCTGCAGAGCTTGCCATGATTCGGAAGTGCAATCAGAAGATGGAGGCGCTGAATGCCAAGCTTCAACACTCTCCTCGCAGCCATGTGCCAACAGCCGAGGAGCAGGCGATGCTCTTGTCCATGGCGGCGCTCAATGCAGCGCTGGAGTCGGACGCACGCAACCCGGCAAGGGTTGTCAGCCGACTAGTTAGTGTGTGTTCGCATCGCCCCTAGATTCTCAAAAGAGATCGCTTATTAGTTTGAGTCCGTGGCCCGCGTGGGGAGCCGCGGTACGGCTTTATGACGACGCGCTAGCCGCTAGCGCTACACGCGGCGCGTCGCGGCCCCGCCGCCGCCTCGACTGTGGTCTGTGCACGTGTACGGTGTACGCCCGCAAGAGCCGCATCCGGCGAAGACCGTATACACGAAGCCGTATACTCTCAACTCAGCCTCCAAGAACCCTCGTAACCCAGGAGCGAAAGATCAAAGAATTTCAGCGCGCGACCGCTCGAAATCTCGATCCATGGAGCCGCTCGCACAGAGTGTGCTGAGGCCTACACTCTCTACTCTGTACACTGTACTAGATAGAGCCGTACGTAAGGGCCGGAGGCGGCGGCACCGACGTACCTACGGCTATGCCCGCCGCTCGCTCTCGCCTGTGCTCGCAAGGGACATGGGTAGGGGGCCGCCTTCCACCACTTCATGACCCGGACTCCGCCTCTGCCGGCCGCGCGCCTTGAGCGCTTTTTTTCGACGACGTCGCGCTTGAGCTTCTGCGTGGCGGTGAGCTCCCCTCCGGGCACGGAGAGCTCGGTGTCCAGCACGACGAACTTCTGCACCTTCTGCGCGCGCGACGCCGCGGCCGCGTTGGCGCGGTCGATGCCTTCCTGGACGGCCTTGGCCAGCTTGGGGTCTGCCTTGGCCTCGGCTACCGTGGTGGCGGAAGAGCCGATCGCCTGCATCGCGAGCAAGAAGTTTGCGTCGAGCTTGTCGGTCGGCCGCAGCGTGTCCGGGTCCATCACGACTCGCAGCGTGAGCAGGCACGAGAGGAACTTGCGCTTGTCTCCGATGAGCACGGCGTTGCTCACCATCGGGCACTGCAGCTAAGGTCGCGTTCAAATGCCCGGAACGGCCGTCTCAGTGGTGTCCGGCCGGCGCGATCACCGAGCTGTGACGCTCAGGGAAGACTGATGAGGTGCTGGTTTCTTTGCCCAGGCCTGGC